CCTCACAGAGCCACTAGCATGGCTGTACACCCTTAATCTCGTTTAATCGCCCAATCACCTCAAGCTTTTGAGCTATTGAGATGCTATGCTAAATCAGGCCCTTTCCAACATCACAGGTGATCATTGGTTTTGTTTCTTGTAACATAGCATTTGATGGCAATGCTTTTCATCAGCTTTTACAGTGCCTCAAAGCTTTTCAAAACAGTGCCTGCTCTTTATTAATTTAAAACAATGACAAAATAGTTAGTGTGATGGATTTTGTATAATTTCTCTGCAAGATGATTTTAAGAACATACCAGCTTTAAATGAAAACGCTGGCTGCCTGGAATCTAAATATCTGGGGAGCAGTAGGCTTTATGAAATCCTTTAAAAACTACTTACTCCCTTGCAGATAGACACAGCTTCTTTCGACAAAGACTTCGGGTAAGACACATTATGCTCCATGATAGACTGGAAGAGCTCATCCTCATCCTCTCCATCGAACGGTGGCTGAAGGGGACAAACACAGAATCATAGAGTTCAGATAAAAGCTGTGAGTTATGACAACTTCCACAATGAAGGGCGCTATGTGAAAACTGACAAGACTTATAATGAGGTGCTAAAACAAGCAGGTGAAGGTGAGCTGAGCAGTGGGAGCAGCTGTGGGTCTATGTTCTATGACTGGCTGTACCCTGTCACTGTTATTTCAGTTAGAGGTCTTTGTTGTCCATATGTACTGTAGATTACACCAACTACACAAATGAGTGCTACAGAAAGTGGCACTTACTGCAGATCTATGCACTATTACAACATTCACTGCTTTGTAAGAGAAAAAGAAACATAAAATCCTGCTACAAGCATTATTCTGTGAGAGTTTTTATGTATGTGATCCATCTTCAGAAAGAACAATATCCTCTGCCAAACTGTTGCCTGGAAACTGGAAGTCTTAACAAAACCTTTTATTACTTTAAGTGCTACTTATCTTACATTTTTGGTGTTTCTTTTGTCCCAACCACATGCAAGGAATAAAAATATTTTTAGTAACTTATTTTGTAGTTATTAAATAATGTTTGGAACCTTGTTCACTTTGCAGTAGGTCTGCAGCTTTATGAAATAGTAGGAAATCAGGAAGTGAAAGTGGCTACTTCTGAAAATCAGAGCTACAACTACTACTTTCGGCTGTTCCCATTAGGGGTCGCCGCAGCAAATCAACTGTTCACATGCATACATTTGGCACGCATTTTACGCCAGATGCCCTTCCTGACACAACCCAAACTGGGATATATATGCACTAATGTGGGCAATTTAGAGTTACCAATCAACCTAACCTGCATGTCTTTGGACCGTGGGAGGAAGCTGGAGTACCCGGAGTGAACCCATGCAAGCACAGGGAGAACATGAAAACACTGCACAGAAAGGCACTAACACAGAAAGGAACAGCACTAACCACCATGCTGCCCAAAACAACAGCTACAACTAATGATCATTTTCAATGTTAATCCGTCTGTTATTTTTAATCAGCTTCTCACAACCTATGAATGATATGCTACAATGTTTTGCTTTGTCTGATCAACAGCCGAAACCACAAAGATATTTTATTCACAATGATATAAAACAATGCAGCAAATCATGAAAATTATTTTAATTATTAATGGAGTATTAAAATTGCTGGTGAAATGTTTTTGGGAACAAAGTAACTGATTAATCAATTTATCATTTCATCAGGTAAACACCACTAAATGCACAGTCCTCACTTAGGGATGATGTAAAAACCCTCACAGAAGACTGGTGGAGTAACACAACGTATTACCTGTCCGGCCAGCATCTCGTACAGTAGAACTCCATAAGCCCACCAGTCCACTGATTTCCCATAGGGTTGGTATGCTATAATCTGATGAGACAAAAAAAAGTTAAAATGGAATACACACATAGCCTAATTTCCATATGTAGAAAAAATGCTTTATTAACAACTTCATTTAAAAAGGAAGCTTTACCCCTGCTGCAACACCTTCACCCTGTCATTGTTTGATTTGAATTAGGTAAAGATCAAATCAAATCAAAGCAAATTTTATTTGTATAGCGCCAAATCACAACAAAAGTCATCTCAGGACACTTTACAAAGTAAGGTCTAGACCTTACTGTTATCAATATTATTACATAGGGAAAACCCAACAAATCCCCCTTGAGCAAGCACTTGGCGACAGTGGGGAGGAAAAACTCCCTTTAACGGAAGAAACCTCCGACAGACCCCGGCTCTTGGTGGGCGGCCTTCTGCCTCGACCGGTTGGGGTGAGTGGATAGAGGAGAGAGGAAAGAAGAAAAGCAACAAGACACAACAATCAAACACTGATCAGGTCGATGTGGCCGGTGACTGCT